AATAATTCTATTCAAAGCGCTGCTGAGTATTAAATGTGAATATTTCTTTTTGTGAGATTCGAACCTTGTTTTTAATTGTCATAATGTACCCTGCTCGCGACTTGCCTATATTTACTCAAGGCTTTGCTAACAAGTCATCAGTAAAGAATCTTCTTTTTCTCAAAAGGGTTTTAATGTATGTAATGGTAAATCTTCTTTTGATATATTCCCCTCCTTTCTGTTGCTTCCAGAAATTGTTTCGTTGAACATCACGTCAATAAATCACATAGCAAAAGGGTGGATTAGACAAGAACATATGGGAGGCAAAATTTCAACAAATTTATATGATACATTACAATAATCCCAATGCATTTTTTCAGCCGAAGCCACTTTATTTCTTTTTGAGAAACTTTAGCTATCTTTTCTTTACCAAATGTTTTTTTATTTTGTTTTTGCCAACAATTGATGCATGTATTTGTCTTGTGAGGATAGTTCAAGTGCTATAAATTAATCGAGAGACATAATAAAATAGACGTGTGTGGTTTTGTTCGGAGAAGTACGTAATTATGGCGTATAAATATTTCTTAAAGCAAAAAAAAAATCGGTTGTACTATTTATCTTTTGATAATAGCTTGCTGTGTCAAAATCAAATAAATGATGATCAATTTGTAAGTTTATGGCTTTTGGCTCATCAAAAGTGACTTTGGAAGTTCAAAAAGTCTGGCCAAAATAATATTTGGCATGATTTTGAGGGCACAAGATTTTTTTTTTTAACCTAAACCACTTTAAAGTTGAAGCAATTTTTTTTTGGTTTAAAGTTTCTAAAGCTCCCTTATTGAAAAGAAGTTTCCAAAGCCAACTTTTTAATATACTATTTTTTTGTCCTTAATATAAATCTAAATTGAAATGTAATATTACACTACAAAGTAGATTATATACTGAAAACATAAGGTGGTATTATTCAAATAACTTTATGCCAAATTGATCTTTTTTAACAAAAACTTATCTAAATATAAAATCATAGTACACTAAGGGTTTGTTTTGGATCAGCAATGGCAGAGATGACTTTTATTTTAGTGGTATTTGAATGGAATCAAAACCATGTTTTAAAAGTGATTTATGGTATATAAAGTAAATATATAAAAGTTTATCTCAATTTGTAAAAAAATACTTTTAAAAAGTATTTTTCTTAGTACCCAAACATCCCATCTAACTTTTGAAACTTAAGTTAGAGTAGAAGTTGATAGCCTATTGTGATTTATATTTGAATTTACTTTTTATTAAAAAAAATCAGTTTAGCAAAATGAAATTTATTTGGAAGATTAGTTAAAAAATAAGATTAAATGTAAAATGACTAAAAAATGAATTTGATTAAATGAGTAAATACACACATATATGATGTGATAATTTAAAAAAATTATAATTATAAAAATAAAAATAGTTAATGTATTATTAGGAAAAAATAAAAAATACTAAAATACTTAATTACATATATTCGTGTGATTTTTATACGTAGACTATTGAATATTATTTTTGTTTTGCATATTTAATTAGTTATTTTTTTTCTTTCTTAGGTTATTTTTGCAATCCAAATTATTGGATTTTGTAGACTAATATGTACTTTTATATTAAAGGAAGGGTATTCCTTTTTTTTTTTTGGGCTTTTTCTTTGTTATTTCCTTCTCTCTCCACGTCTTTCCTTTTCATTATTGGATCACTTTTCTTTCATTTTTCTCCAATGCTTTCTTTATTTCTCACGATGACAAAATGGCTTCTTTTAAAGCAAGGTAATAAACCGCTTTGTTTCCACCTGATATGTTGGGTCTCATAAGTCAATCTTCACAAATATTATGCCAAACATTAAAAAGAAAAAAAAAAGCCTCAAACATTCCGTATCCAAACACAACCTATTTAACTTTTATCACAATTTCAATTCACAAAAAATAATTAAAATAAAAGTCATTTTATAAAAAAAACATTAATACAAACAAGCTTAGAAGGATCTCCTTTTCTTGGAAGTTTTTTAATACTTTATTGTGAGAGTGAGTGATTCTCAAGAAAATGCCATGGCATTGGTAATGCTGTAATAGATTAATCGGGTCTGCTTTATATGTAAAAAGCAAGATTTTTCATATATTTTTTATTTGATATTTTCCTTACTTTTGTTGTTTGTTCAGCAAATTGGTCCGTTGAATATCACATCAAGAAATCACATAAGAAAAAGCTAAATATAGACAAAAATTCAACACGTTAATATAATATCACAATCCCAAGACATGTTCTTTATAGATAGCCAAAGACAATTCACATTTCTCCTCCTTTTTTCATTCTTGGTTGAGAATTTTACCTATATATGTTGCTTTTGGTGCATGCTGGTAATTGCCTTTATTTGATCTTTTTATGAAAGGATAATATCTTTTGTATTCTTTTCACAGGTGAAAATGCCTGATATGCTTAAGATTCCAACACACAAATAGACAGATAAATATATTCGGACTCCGGTCAAAAAAACACACACATATATATAGATATAATAATAATGGATCGTGTGGAATGATTGCGCTATGTTACTTTCAGTCACATTTGCACATTCCTCGGAATGCCATGTTTCCTACTTTAGTTTCTGTCCTTCTCATCATCTCTTTATTGCTTCTTTTTCCTATCTCTCTCCATTTATTGGCCATGAATGACATAAAATTGAATGTGCTTGCATGTGTGTCACCATGCATTTCAATTTATTTTTTAAAAGCTTGTTTCTTATATATATATATATATATATATATGTGTGTGTGTGTGTTTAACTAACGAGCAGTTAGTCGAGCTGGTAAATGGACTCGCCCCTCATAAAGATGAGAATGTGTGTTCGAATCCTAAAAAGTGCACTCATTGGAAGAGGGGCCAACCCCGCTTATGTGGGCAACACTCCTGCTCCTTGAGTCTGGATTAGTCAGTTGCCAAAGACGTCGGATTAACAGGCGGTATTTCACAAATATATATATATATGTGTGTGTTTAGGAAAGAACCACCAACAAATTAATTTTATTTCTTATATGTGGACTTGATGCCCTAATCTTTCTTTTTTTGGCCAGAACACCCTAATCTTTTTTTAGTGATACAATTTTACTCATAATCCATCAAATTTGGTCTGATTTCACCCATTTTAAAGTTTTTTGATGTTATTGTAATTCAGCTATTTTGTATAAGAGTTGTTAATAATTTGGTAAAAGGAATCAAAATTGCTGATGAATAAAAAAAAGAGTGAGATTGCACTAAATTTAAAGAATTATAGGTAAAATTGCACTAATAAATAAGGTAAGATTGGGGTATTAGATACTGCTCTACCGTATATATATGTATAATAATGTTTATTTGGTAACTTATTGAAAAAGAATTTTATAACTTTTAAAACAAAGTCATTTTTACATTATTTTGGTCACTTTTCACCAATTTCTTTTTTCGATGGCTACTTTTCACCAATTCAAAGGATGTTCCAAACATCCCCAACGACACACTCCTCTGCAATTCCGATATATTTCCTTAAAATAAAAAAAATCCCATTAATTAGTTTGTTCTATATTAAAATTTTATATTTATATTTTTATTTAATACTCCTCCGATCCTTAATATAGAACCCAATTATTGAGTTAGTTTTAATCATAAATATAAGACTCATTTATCATATTTATCAATTTTCTCTAAATTACCCATATAGATACTCCTTCAATTATAATCAAGTAGAAGAAGGAGAGAGGGTATTAAAAAAAATGATTATGATATTCTAGGAAAAATGTGTCATATTTCTTAAAACTAACTAACTTACCTAACTTTCTTAATCTAATTAAATTAGTTAAATAGGTCTTATATTAAGGATCGGAGGAGTATGTATTTTTTAAGAATATCATATAATAAATTTAATAGCAAGACTTGTATGAAAAAAAATTCTCACAACGTCTTATACATAAAGGCCAATGGGAAAAAGAAGTATATTATTAATCAAAGAGTTTTTAATTTCCCGGCTTAGTGAGAGATAGAAATATACCCACCGAATCTTTCTTAACAATGAATGAAGGTGAAAGAAATGAAGTTTAACCCCCTCGCCTTTTCTTTTCCGGCAAACCAATCATTCTCCGAAAGGCCCCTATCTATCTCTCTTTCGTATTACTTTTTTTTCTATTTTTAGAATTATAGAGTGGGGATTGGAATGAACAATTTCAAAATGAAAATGATGAATCCAAAAATTCTATGGAATTCTGAAAGACGGAAAGATCCTTCTGATCGAGTCATATCATTCCATTCCATTATATTGACAATTTCAAAAAATAAAATAGTCCCAATGTTTATCAATGAACACAAATAACTCTTCAATATGGAGCTTAAAGCCTCACCTAACAAAACATACAGTGAAGCCAAGAACACAACCCGTGCTCTCTCATGATAAATTTAAGAGAATAATCCAATTGCTTAGCGATATGGTTTATCTCAAATGTTGAATAAATATATGAAGTCCACTTCAGTGTAGTTTTTTTTTTTTTAAAGAATGATTAAAAAAGTTGGGGAGAATTTTTTTTTTTTAATCCAATAACCGACAAAGTAATAATGCCAATGAAACTAAGGGCCTTCCTAGAAAAACTAATTAAATGCAAGCCACGTCATATATATGATTTATAAAGGACTGATATCATTATTAGTCTTCACTGTTTTATGGAGTTTTAATTTTAGTCCCTATAATTTTAAATAGTTGGTTTTGATTTATATAATTTTATAAGAATTTATAAAGATTAACAGATCAACAATGAAATTAACCTATTCATAAATTATGGATAAAAGTGAAAGGAAATAAAAGAAAGTATCAAGATTGAAAAGCTATCACAAATCAATGAGCAAATATACGTAATCTCATTACACATTTTCCTTCCAGCACTGCCAGAATATTGCTATACACAAAATAGAGTCTCTCATCAAACCAAAATAATCAATCAGAGCCTCTGTCATCTACAAAAAAACAGGAAAAAAAACCATTCAATAATAATTAACGCTTTAATTAGTTAACACACTCAGCAAATTCCTCTTCCTCCATATTTTCTGAATGCAACCTCTTTCTGCTACTGAGTGGGACCCCAAATAGCTTCACAGAACCAGCTGATGAATCATCCAACTTATCAGCATCAGTTTGAGTCTGATCAAGTGACACTGATGAATCCAACTCAACCAGCTTGGGAATATGAACACTATCATTATTATTATTATTTTCACTACTTCTGCACATTGATCTGCCTCTTATTTTCTGCAAGGGATGATCATAATAATCTTTGCTAATGTCCACTGGTTTGACATGGTTCTGGATGAAGTATATAATGTCATTGTAGAGACTCTTCATGTGAGTGAGTTCTGATAACAGCATCAAGTTCTTCCTCCTGAGTCTCTGATTGTCTTCCGAAAGTGCTCTTAGAACTTCATGAGTACTACTGGTTCCTGATGATCCTCCTCCTCCCCTTCTTATTGCAGCTGCTGGTTTAGTGGGAGAATAAGGTGGGATTAGTAATGGAGAGGTCTCTGTGTTCCAAAAGAGAGTTTGATGATGGTTCTGTAGAGGTGGCTGATCATGAAGGTGGTGGTGATGATGGTGAGGGCTTTTTCTTCTGTGGATTTCACAAAGAAGATGCTTAGCTCCTTTTCTGAAATACTCATTTGCAAATTCCCACCTATCTGCTACTACTTTCTTGAAACCCTGCAATAACAAGATATTTCCTATTATTATATCAAACATTTGAAAAAAAATTAAACATTGCCAGCTTGTGAACAGTGTAGTTTAATGTATCATGATGTTGATTGTGTGAATGCATTTAAAAAGTGGAAGAATGAGAATATTTTTTTCCTTTGGTTAAACCAAAATGGGCCCTGATATTTATAGGTTCCATTGATGATGTTAAACTAAAAAAATACATTTACTTGTGTGTTTATTAGAAATCTGGGAAATAAAGACATAAAAAATTATTCACTAATTAAACTTTCTGCAATCTAACTCAGATATCAATATCAAATTATTATCTAGGCTAATATCCATGCATCAATCTGCGATAAAGAAGAGAATCGACTGGGAAGGATGAAAGGACTAGAATGCGGGTGAAAGAAGCTGATCAATGAAGCTATAATAAGAAACACTGCTGGTGAAAACACAGAAAGAAAACAGAAACGAAGAGAGAGGTGAAGGAAGGTTATCAGAGAAGCTATATAGAAGAAATGTGTCTATATATATAGACACAGAGAGAGAGAGAGAGAGAGAGAGAGAGGTACATATGTATTGAGCTGGCGAACGAAGCTGGAGAAGTTGTTGTGCTTGAAATAGTTGGGAAGGAGATCTCTGGCAAACTCAGGAGGCCTCCAAACAACGAAAGTGGACTCATCGGAGCCCCAGGAGACAATGTGGTCGGTGAGAGGGTCGTCCACCAGCTGATACGTCTTTGTCAGGAACGGTGCCGGCACAGTCGACGCCGCCGCCGCCTCCGACGACGACTTGTCATCCGCCATTGTTGTGAACATCATCGCCGCCGCCATCTTCTCTAACTCATCGCACCTCTCTTCTGTGAATGCCATCATTCCAACACCCTCCATCCCCACCTACTCCTTCCCTTTATTTATACTCTCACCTCCCTACTTCTTCTGTTTTGTCACTTCACTCTCCCTCCTCTACTCCCTTTCTCTCTCTGTAGGGCACAAGCGATACTGTTTGTTTTTTTTCCCCCAAACAAAGGTGACAATGATTTCTCTTATGGGGGTGTTTTGCAGTATGAAAATTATGGTTTCAAAAACACTTTTTTATAAAATGAGATAAATTCTTCTACATATTTATTTCGTAAATCGTAAAAGTACTTCTGAAATTATGATTTGGTTTCTATCCAAACACCTCCTTAAAATTGAAGTCAAGAAAAAAGTCTATGTAAAATTCACGAAGTACCAGCTAGTTTTGTTTAGTAGAAGAGAATTAAATTAACTTATTTATTTTTAACGAACCAACTCATGTATGTGTGTTTACATATATATATATATATATATATGGAGAATTTTCTTTTTTAGAATGCATGTTACTCAAACTATTATATCTGATGTTTATAAGTTTGAGAAGCATATGAGGGTGTCAGAAAAAGTGAAAACAGTGAGTTTCTCCACAGCAATCTTATTATAAGATCCAATGAATTGATATATATTAGTTTCTGTTGGATTCTTCTGGCGGCCACAGACACAGAATAGTTGTTTTGTAAGTTGATTCCTCTTCGAGGGACGTGCTCCTACTTTTTTAATTTTTTTAATATATTATAATATTAATTAATTAAAACAATGAAGCATAATTTTTTCCAATTGGATCCTCTATTTTTATGTTTATCTAGTAGGGCACTGGGCATCCCTGGACGTAATCACGATTCTGTCCCTCCATAAGGGTTTATATGTAGACTCGGACAATTTACCTAGAAGAAATAACTAAAGATATTAATAATCTAATCAAATGATAAAAATTATATTCAAATTTATTTTTACGGACACGCGTCTCAAATCTTGTGCAAATTCCAAAGACAAATGAATAATATAAAAGGCGATGCTCAATATTCATTTCTTTCTATGAGAGACATATGTGATGCCGCTATTGCATGGTTATTCACAGACACAAACACATAGTTTAATTTCATTCTAAATATAAATTCTCAATTCATTTTTTTTTCCAAATTTATAGTTTATTGTAGAAAATATCCATTTATTAATTATATATATATTAAGGATGTTTTTATCGAAGGGTAATTATGATTAAAAGAATAATCTAAAAAAATTAACTCATATTTATTACAAATAACTAATTTTAACATTCTTAATCTATATAAATTAGTTAAGTACATCTTATTTAAAGACCGGACATAATATAAATGAGTTCCGTTGGCACATTTAATAACAATTTTTTTTTTTACATATATGAAATAATTTTTATCATTTCTTTTTAATAGATGTAATCCCAACTCCTATTCGTATATCTCTGTTAAGTTATTTGTATATCTCAAATAATTTTTATTTCCAAATTTTAAGTCTAAACTTTTTATGAAAAAGAGGTTATGCTTTTAATAAAAACCTTTTTTTTCCCGGTGTTGGGGTGGAGGTTGGTGGGAAAGACGAGAAGTAATTTCAACTTTCGGTGTGAAAATGTTTTATTTTTCTTTTTCAAAAGATTATCTTTTTGCACACAACCTAGCTAGCACTCATGCATATTATATCATTCATGAATATAAATATATATATATATATATATATATATGATATTACACATACGTACTTGGGAAGCACCGGGGATTAAATTGATGGGACAAATCGAAGTACCTTTGGTTGGATCATCCAAATGATGATTAATTTCTTGTTATCTTGAGAAAATTGACCCAAAAAGATGCTCAGATGTGTTGGATTAATCAATTTTATCTTCCCATTTGGGGAGATCAAGCTCATCAATCATCATCACATTTACAAATCACTGATGATGACTTTATGAGGTCATTTGTGCGTCTTATTTCTCAACAGCCTATCTAATTACCACCAAGTATCAACTGAAAATATTATTGATGCAAGCTCTAAAATATTAAAGTTTGATATTATCATTGGTTATTATTTTTTAAAAAAAATGATTCTATAAATATTTTCAAATCAAAATAACTGTTGCAAAATAATCCCAATTTTCACTGAATCCTTGTTTACTGCTTTTGTGACCCTGAGTTTTGTTCATCAAACCTCAATTTTCCCAGAGTAGAATGTTGCTTTTGCAAAATAGGATTTTCTAAACTGAATTTTTATTTTCAACACTATTTTTTCTGACTATATAACCAATTTGGCCGCTTTTTGTTAAGCCCAGCTTTGCCTTTTAAACATCAATTTGTCAAATGCAAATAGAAGATTACTTATACTAGATTAGATTTGCCAAACTTACATTTTTTAAAAAAAAAAAGTTAGTATCATTTTTAATTGATGAAATTTGATTTTTTTTTAATTTTGGTTTTTAAAATTTGTTTCAAAAATGAAAAATCTTTCAGTAAATCAAAACATAGTCAAATTTAAAAGATTAAAATCAAAATAAAGTCAGATTTCAAAAATTAAAACATTGGTTTTTAAAATTAAAAACTAAAACAATATCAAACTAGAGATAAAAGATAGTATTAACAATTTTTTTTAATAATTGATATCAAATCAAAATTAAAAGTGAAATTTTGACTCTGATTTTATTTTTCAAATGCAATTTTATCTATGATTTTTTGAATGGTGTAATTTTGATTTTGATCTCTTTTTTTGTGTAATTTTAATTAGGATCAAAATTGCAGCCAGAGATGAAAGATCAAGAATAAAATTGTATTACTGAAAATTCAGTACAAAAATTAAGGTTAAAATCACACTAAACATAAAATTATGCGTGAAAAATAAAAGCGATGTTAAAATTAAAATTGCACCTCAAATATAGTTACTGTTTCCTAGGGCATTGGTTGGCTAGGAATCAAAGAAAAGGGAAAGGGAAGAGTGTAAAATAAGGAAAAGGTGAGGACTGGAATGGTGATGAGATGAGGAACAAGTTACAAGGAAGGTTGGAACATTCTGAGCATTATTCACTCATTTTGCACAAACCAAAGCAGTCCCGTGACTCATCACATCAAATAAGATTACAAGTGAAGCTTCTGTATTTTAGGGCTGTTAGGCTAAAAAGAATACTACTAATGGCAGATTTCAATTCTCAAAGCGGTTTGGTTTATATAAAGTCTAAAAGCTACTCGTACAGATATGATCTAATGCACTCCCATCTATCTCCCTGCCACTGGCTTTCTAGCTCAAGATTCCAACGCAGAAGAAGAAGCATAAAGTAAACCCTATGAACACATTTCACAGGAGGCACAGATGCTGCTTTGCCCAAATCAAGATAGTGCTGACTTTATCACACACATACACACACGCGAGTATATTTTAGTATTAAATTTCAATCATAGTAGATACATTCCATTTTATAATATTTTATAGAATAACTTGACTCTTAAAATATTAATTTTTGGGAAGTAATTATGCTTTTAAAGCATATTATTATTGTATGAGCAATGTTTACTTTTATTTAACTTGGTCTATTAAATAAATGTATATTAAGCTTTATAGAGTATTTTTAAGTATTTTTTTAGAGTTTTGAATGTACTTTAAAAAATATTTTAAGATATTAGATAACTATAAAATATTTTAAGATACTATATACATTTGAAAAAAATATTTCGAGATAGTAAACGTACTATAAAATATTTTAAAGCGTTGAGTACACTCGGAAAATATTTAAGAGTGCTGTTAGCTATATGTACTTTACTTTAGATTAAAACCTCCTTTGTACTTCTCGATGTTTAGATATAAATTAAACCATAATTTTAAAAATAATTTTACGGTATACGAAATAAACATGTAAAAAAAAATTTATTTTAACTTGCATAAAATTATTTATTAAAAATGCTTATGGGGCCCTTAGGCTAACAATGACCATCTTGATCTTCTTAGTTAACGTAAAAATTTGAGTTAATATAATTTTTGGTTTTTTAAATTTGTTTTTATTTTCATTTAGTCTTTTGAGTTTCAAATCATAGGTTTTAGTCCCTTAAAGCAAAATAATCCAATTTTTTGTTAGATTGCAGGGACAAATATTTTAAATGAAAAAAACTTAATAGACCAAAACCTATGATTTTAAAACTTGACAGAAAAAAAATCAAAATAACAAAAATTCAAAGGACCAATTTAACCCTGAAAACTTTATGGAATGTCAAATGACTGTTTTTGGGATCCCATAAAAATTTATTTTCCATGTATAAAATAATAAAAGTTATTGCAAGTGGCAGTAGCATCCATGAGGGAATTCAATAAACCGAAGGAGCATATTCTTTATTATAAGGCCCATCCTCGGGATAAATCAAGGAAAATATTTCTTTTTCTACAGGATGTGGATCAAAATGTGCAACATTTTCTTTTACTTTGTATGTTAAATAATGTAAGTTATTTTTAACTAACTTGTATAGATTAAAAAAATAATTGATGTTTTAAAAGAACATTTTTAACTATTGAGTATTAAACCATGACAGCATCATAATCTATATACCATAAATGCTACTCCTAGAATTTTAAGAATTTTTGCATGGAAGTAATTAAACAAAGTGGTTTATATTTTGAAACAAAATCTTCTTAAATGAGCATGACATATGTAGTGACTTATTAATTATTTTTTTATCTCATTTATTAGTTATTGCTTTAAGTGTATCAATCAAGCCTTTAAAGATTTGCATATTATGGTCGCACATGTTCAGTGGTCAAAGTATACAGTAAAGCCATTAATGGGGCCTGAATTACAGCATGCCAAGATTAGAATCCGAAGGGTCCAATTCCAAAACACACTCACATACACACGAGAAGATTCTATTTAATTTCCTAATTACTTAACATAATAATATCACTAAATATCTTCTTGATGTTTAATTCAGAAATTGCATATATAATATATGTGTGTACATATATAAATATATATATTCTTGACCACATGATGTAGCTTGCTAGGTTTGGCCATGTCCACGTGCCCCACATTTTCCACAGAGAGAGAGAGTTTAGATTTGTCTCTTATCA